ACATTATGCTAGTTATTTTCATCTATCATCAGATTCATAAATCATGTCAGAATTATTTGTGATCGTAAATTAAGAAGAGGAAAAGATTTCTTAGATAAAATGTGTTTTATATTTCAATTGAATTAACCATACTACAACTTAACCTTTGCCAATGATTTAGAGTCACATTCTTGTGGAGAGTTAGATGAGTCTGCTGGTGATAGCTTCATATTTACCGTACAGACATAACAGTGGCATCAATCTTCTATCAAAGTCTTGGCAAGAAAACAAATGCAGATCTCTCAAAATGTCAAACTATTCCTTTAAGATAGAGCACCCAAGCCTGTGCTCTCTACTGACTACATTCACAGTATGTAATGCATTCAAGTATGGTGTGCCAGTAATATGGTACAATGGATGGACACGTTTTCTGCTGTTACAGTTACACATAGGGAATGTGGTTTTCTTCTGTAGAAAACTACCAGGAGACAGTGGTGCAGCTGTTACCATGGCAGTTGCTTCCAAATCCTGTTATGAAATCCAATTCCTGAAAAGCATAGCTGTTTTGCTATTTACATGTTTCCACTCTCTCCCCTTCTAGTTTATTGGCTGCATAATTGGAAGACAAGGCAGCAAGATCAATGAGATTCGGCAGGTCTCTGGAGCTCACATCAAAATTGCCAGTGCCACTGATGGCTCAGCCATGCGCCAAGTCACGATCACAGGCTCGCCGGCCAGCATCAGTGTGGCCCAGTACCTCATCAGCGCCAGGTAAGACATTCACAGGGCGGCCACGTCCAGCAGGGCTTCACATCGCAGCCTGGTGATAAGACAGCCAAACACCATGCTATTGTATGAGGGCAGAGTTATTGTGCTCAGGGTGAGGCTGGATTTGTTCCATCTCACTGCTCCGTTCTCTTGACTGCATTAAATCCTTATTGTCTCTGCTTTTTAACACATTCCTTCTTTGATTCTTATGTTTTCTTCTTTCTCTCACCTCCCTTCTCCTTGTCTCACCCATTCTCCCCCTCATTTTTCATCTCCTCTTAACTCTTCACCATCTCAACTCCCCTTCCACACGTCCCGACGTGCAGTATAGAGATGGCTAAGTACACCATGCAGGCCGCTACCTCTGCGACCCCAGTTGACCTCAACATGAGCTTCTCTCAGTCCCCTCCCACTGCCTCCACTGCTGCTACCTCTATGGCCGTCCTGGCGGCCACCACCCCAACCCCCACCAGCATTAACGTCAACTCTCCCTCCACCTTACAAACCTTCCAAAACCCACACTACGCCATTCCTGTTTCCAGCCTGCTTGGCATGAAAAGTCTCCCCCTCCTGGCTGTCCACCCAGCAGCCGCTTCCAGCCTAACACAGGGTTTATCCCCTTACACCGCAAAAATTTCAACCTCTGGCATCAAAAAATCAGAGCGTCAGAAGTTTGCTCCTTATTGATGTCTGCTTTTTAAGCCAATCGGTGTAGCTGACTGGTGAGACTTTGTTAAATGATGAGAAATTATTTAAAATTGGGCATATAGGCTTAAAAATAGCTTCCACCAGTGAGTGTTTTGCCAGTGTAGCAGTTGTTTTCCATAAATCAGGAGAATTTTCGAATGAGACTGAAAGGATGCTAGTATCAAAACATGTCCTTCTAATTAAAACAGGCAGCAGAGATGCATATTGACTCAGTATTATCTGAAGGACATGCATTACAATAAATGTGGATAACTCAGGCTTGTATTACTATCCTAGAAAATTATATTTTTCAAATGGATTCATGTTGCAGAGCTTTATTTGAAGACTTACTCCAGGAGAGCCATTTTCCATGATGCAAATATTGACTTAGTTTTCTATCTGTGTAAGTAGTTTACAATCAGTTTTTGTTAGATAATGCAAACTAGTAGCATAGGATGTGGTGATTTGTTGGCAGCAGGCTGTTAAACTGTTTGTCCTGTACAATAGAAGTTAGCGTGTTAAGTATTTTTAAACAAGAGTTGCTCCACCATTCTGTCAACATAACCTTTCCATCACTTTAGGCTCTCATCAGTGCTAACAGGCTTGGGTGTTCTGTAATAGCATTGCACTGTAGCAGTTCTGATGGGATTATCCGAATGCCACATTGGATACTAGTGGATTTCACTCTACACAGTAATCCTGTGCGGCAGGACTGGCCTAACGAACTCGTTTGTTCTTTCTGTACGCTAGCTTGTTTTTTGTTTTTTCTTCAGCCCAAATGAGTGGAATGTTTCAACTTTCAGCATCTGGAATGGACGCTGAGCAGTTATTGTAATAAATGTTTTATTCATGTTTTTGGTGGTGGATCTCCCCCCAAACAATGCAGATTTGTAATATTTGTTGATGAAATGACTTTGAAATAAATGGGACTTTTTATGAATACAGATTGGTTGTTTTGTTCTGTTGGTGTAGAAAATGTTTTACATTTTTGTTGATTACTCTGACCCTTAAACACAAACATCTACATTTATGCATTGTTTACTCTTTAGTTGCTTTACTCTTTAATTGTATATAAATCAGGACAACAAATTACGCTCAGCAACTCAATTACAGTGTTGTTAGACTGTATTCATGCAGTGGTATATTTGTCTAATTTTCACATTTAATTTATGCAAATCATTGACATATAAGTAAGCTTATAAGCAAACTGACACGTACAAGGTTTTATTTCTCCTGTGTTTTTGTCTGATCTATATAAAACCAAAGACTATACACCCAGAATAGTCTAACTCATAGCAAACAGAAACTTTTCTCCATCTTCTCATATTTTTCTCTAAAGAGGAAATGTGCCTCCACAGCCTGCTCGTGTAAAACATTAAACTGCAGTGATACTGAAATATAGAAAACAATAGAGAGCAGTAATTGCGGCCATTAGCAGTTTGCAACAACACATATGCATATTTTGTCAGGTATACAAAGACAACTCTTCACAAAGTAGTCCATGCTATTATGGATGTAGTTTGGTGATGTTAGAGGGCACAAAGCTCCTGCCCAGACAAACTTTTCCACCTGCACACTCCCAAAATACAGAAGCAAACTTGGACTAACCTCACAGTAAATATTCAACACATGTTGTGGCAAAATTCTCACGGGTCCACCGAAAAAGAACAGCTTAAACTTGAGTTGTCCGCTCAAGCATACAGCTAATGGGCAGGTAGGGTAGAGTGACTGACCCCTCCCTCCCCCCCTTTTTAGAGTAAAAACCAGGAGGTGGGCACTTCTGTTCGGCCTGATCCGTGGAGTATGGGTAGTGAGCCATGTGGGCCATTTCCACAGCAGGGCTCGAAATGCTGAAGTGGAGATAATCAATAGTTAATGGGGGCAGAAATGTAATGACAGTGAAGGATGACATTTGAACCTCGGGGAAGGTGTAGCAGCAGAGAACAGTGCTGCATGTATGCTGATGTGTGCCTAGGGCAGTTACGAGTTCACAGCCAGCTTCTAATGCTATATTAATGATTTCCTTTTTCAACCTGACACAGGCAGGAGTGAGGGTCCCATTTTTGGAGCTTGCTGCCATCATGCAGTTTTGAAAAAGCAATTTAGTGGAAAATAAGTAAATAAATATTTTTTTTAGGTGCATAACCACTTAAAGGTTTGTGGGGCAAATTGGTAGGCAGGGTTGTCACTCAATCCCTGATGAAAAATCACTGCAATACTCTAAACATATTCCTCTAGGGACAGATTAGTATGTCTGTGGTGCCTAATTGTATTTTTTTTTAAACTTTATCTGTGGTATTCCTTCAGTGGTTTTCCACAGTATTTCTTTCTATACTATATATTGCAAATATAGAACATTTTATCATCTGCCATGATAATGTCCAGAATACAGTAGTAATTGTTATGGTTAATCTCCTGAGGTATTATCTTCTTAAAGGAACATAATGTTTTTGTGAGATATTAGGACATCAGGACCTTAAATTGTAATCTACTGCATCCCTATAATATTCTTCCAGTATCTATATGCATATGTTTCACTCTAGCAGTGACATTCTTAAGTAATTAAGTAAAAGTGGACTTACCACTATTAATATAGCAGCTGACTGAGGTGGACCTCCATTTACTGCTATTTTATTACTAGTGGGTGGTTTAATTTATTGTATAACTATGCATCATATTCTCTCAAATTGTTATCTCTTATTAACCTCAACAACTTCATTTTGCACAGATATTCATGGTCCCTGCTAAACAGTCTCCATGAGCATGTTAGCATTGTGTTGTTAGCTTGCAGCTCAAAGTAGGCCTTCTGCTGTGCATAATAGCTTCCGTGAACAGCAAACAAGGCTGTAGGCTCTTTCTTTATCTTTATCTGAAAATAACAGCTGTCGGATACATGTAGTAAAGTAGACCTACAATATTTCCCTCTTAAATGTATTGGAGTAGAAGTAGAAAGTAAAGCTGTGCAAGGCTAGACAACTACACATTTGTTCACAATACATGCACGTAGTTAATTTCTACCACTGCATTTTACAACACCATGACTTCTAAAAGCTGATTCAAGTAGGCTATGTTTAGATTCAGTATGTTTAAATTTAACTACTAGCCTATAAGCCAGCAAAATAATACACAGATAAAAGTCTTAAGCATTTCTTGCCATGGCCCTGATGTAGGTCTAGCCTATAGGCCTATTAGGCTACTGTGACTGTGTGAATTGTCACATTTTTTAATTCCCTCCTTGTACCATATGTGCTTTAGTCTTTTCTCATTCGTCCACATATTACCTGGTGACAAAGGTGTGTCACAGAAACGGCTTCTTAATTCGATATAATTAAGTTAAGTCGTTAATCACAGCTGTGAGTGAACCTGGACCGACCTGAGAAACGTCTATTGGGCTCACTAATGGACTGCCTGTTGTTCCTCGCTCATTTTAAACGGCTCCACCTAGTGGCCGCTCGGCTGAACGTGACCCCCCCCCCCCCCCCCCCCCCCCCCACCCCGCCCCCTTTTATTAAATTATTTATTTTTGTCACCGTGAGAAATAAAGTGCCAGTGTAGAGCAAGGACAGCAGTAGTTGCGCGGCACTTGCAGCGGCGGATCGCCGGAGACGGAGCGCCTTCATTCACTGTGGCGATTAAAGTTGAGCGCGACACGCTGATGACCTGCGAGCATCCTCCGGGGAAACTGTGCATTTCACTGGCTTAACGAGCGTCAGTTTCCATCTCTTCACCGCTGATCATTTGTTGCTGTCGTGGCTCCGTTATCCAGCTGTCCAGCAGTCCGAAGGCTGTGTTTCAACCCAGCGGCAATCACTCCGAGGATCACAGGTGAATTATATCAGTGGGGATGCATCTTTTTTTGTTTATGCATGTAAGTCTCATTTGCATGAATGCTCAGGTTTCACATCAACTTAGTTTTCTGGGAATTAACTGCCTTCTGTTAAAGTCGGTGTTGGTGTGCATTTCATGAAGATTTACTCTCTCAGGGTTACAGTCAAGCCACCATGCCTGCCTGAAAATTAAATCGCATCTATCACAAAAGCCTTTATATGCAAATGAGCTTGACGGGGAAACTAATGCAGATTGTTCAAACCTGACTGTTGCACCTGTAGAGCCTACATTATGCACCCCCTACATAGCCTCTACATAGCCAACACCAACACAGTTCAGATACTGTGTTGGAATTTTGATGTAAATTGGAGTGATGTTCTAAGAAACATCAGAGGGATTCAGTGGCTGCACAAAGACTCTGCCCGCTGACACACTCCAGGACGCAACATCCAGTCAACACAGCCTCTAACAGTAGAGTAGGCAGCTGAAACAAACAATGCTATGTATTAACCATTTAATAAATGCACAGGCTCCAGCAAAGTAGGTGGTGAAATGTCTTGAAAATCTATGATTTAATGAAAATATAGCTGCTTGGGATGGGAGGGGGGGTTGGCTATTGTTGTTTTTTACTCACTGAATTTATTCACATTTTTTTTAAATGTCACTACATCTCTGAGTGTGACAGACAAAAGTCAGAAAGGCTGCCTACTATCATCATCATCATTATCTGAGTAATATTATTTTTTTTAAATCAAGCTGATTTACATTCTTCTCCTTAATACATTTCCTGCTTCAGAGTTTTCCTGGCAGGCTGTGTGTATGAGCAATTTCTCACCTTGTTCCACTGCACATAATCTTAAGATTATATGACAGTTTTGCAAGGGCCGTTGGTTTTGCATTGCATGTTTAGGCAAACTTTCTTTTGATTTGGGTCACTCCTAAGATTTACAGTCAGAGGATAAAATTCAATTAGGCAGCCCTGCAGCAATCTTTACTCACTGGCAGATGGCTTAATACTCTTGGATCCTGCCTTAGTGTCCCTTATTGCTCTAATTGGATTTCATCATTTCACACTGTTTATCTTTATAAAAATGAGTTTTAAAATGTGGCATCATTAATTCAATACTTTCTCAGCCCTGTCAGATCCAAGCCCACTAGCCACCACTGTCTAAACATTTCACATCTTGTCCCCAGTGATCTGCTTTGTCACAAATTGAAGTAGACCTCAAAGTAAATTGCTGCGTTCCCCATGTGCCATCGATGGCATGTTGGGATGTTGGAGCAGTGTAAGTTGGAGAATCTGTAATGTGCAATAAATGAAGTGCACACAGCGGCGAGGGCATATTGTCTGTCTGAGTTAATTCTAGCCCCGGGGAGATGGTTTTCCTCTCAATGACATCCAGTTTGATTTTACAGAGGGACATCGCAGGAGTTTTATTCTCCAAGACGACGAGAATGTGATGTTTGCTTGTTTTGGAGGCTCATTGTCAGACTTACACCGTGTACAATACTGGCCTTAAACACAAATCAAAACAAGGAGGATGCTGTGAGGCTCACCGCTGCTGTCTCGCTTTGCTATCATTTTCTGTCACCGTCAAGTTTTTTTCAGTCAGGTCAAATTTGCATATTTGCAAATATTCTTTTAAATGGTGCTCACATTTATTAGGACCAAGCGGTAATTAGACATAAACAAACAGACAAAAACATCTTAGCTCGTGTGGAAAATTCCTAGAGATGAGAGCACTGCTTCAGTGCATTTGGCCCTATTTTTAGCATTATTGTGTGTGTGAAACAGCTATCAACCTCCCTGCAAAAATCCTTTATGAGTGACATCAAGGAAGAAAGCAAGAGGCAGGTCAACCTTAACACTTAACCACCACGCTTTGTTTTATTGAAGCCTTGCCAATTCAGTCTACATGAATAATAGTAATATTAGTCAAGGTAGAGCTAACATTTCACCCCAAGCTCAGGTTGTATGCCAACACTTATGGGCCATATTTGCTCCACTGCGTAATGAAAACGACAATAATTTATGAGTCATAAATCAATGCGATGGTGACTTCATTGAACCGTGAACTAACAGCCAGGTTGAATCCCTGCCTGATTAATCATTGTTGCTGACCTGCTGCTCACCTCAGTGGTCAAACTGGCCATGTTCAACAGCCTGCGATGTAAACAGAACTTTGGCCTTTTACAGAGGGATTTATATCTACAGTAAGGATAATGACCGACCCGCTCCTGGTGGCATTGAGGCTAATACTGAGTTAATTCTCTCTGTGCAGGAAGCCACAGCAACATTTGAATGTCAGTGGAAAGTGCTCATAAGTAATAGCACAGGGCATGGCAGCATTTAAATTGGCAACATTAATAGGGGAGCACAATAACAAAACATCTTAATTATTGTGAAGTTAGCCATTTGTGATGATATTTAAAGTTTTCTAGTATACATATATATAAATGTAAGTTGCAATTCCAAGGTAACATCTGCTGTGTGTGATAGTGACTGTTTGGTGTTTGCTGAAAATCATGCTGCAAAGCTTTGTGAAGCCAGAATTTATTTTAAAGTATTTGAAGAAAAAGCGAAACATAGTTTTTATGCAAAGACAGTTCCTATTGTTATGACGGTGTGGCCACTATGAGTCTTTGACAGCTGAGTGATAACCTCTACTTATACACTGGAACTGGATTTTGTGCCAGCGTTCAGTTTCTGTACTCTAAATTTTACCTCATTTAGACAAAAGAAATATCTCATTATTTTGTATTTTCCCCCAGAAACATTTTTGGTTTTGGTGGGGGACTGCTGCTTTTGAAGGCAGAGTAAAAATACACAGTGGTAAAAAATAAGCACGAATTTTAATTACAGGTTTTACATACTGCTTATGTAGCTACAGACAGGGAGAGTGCCCTACATTATATCTGAAATGACAACATTGTAACAAAGATCTGATATTTGCAGTATTAACCCATGTGTTTTGTTGTGGTTTGACTTCCTTGTTGTTTGGGTTGTCCTTTTTCCCATTTAAATATTTTTCTTTTGACCTTATTAAAATCTAATATGTAGAAAAGCATTGAAGTGGTAACTCTTCCCTTTGCTACAAACTTGATGAAATTGACAATGTAAGGAAATTACCATAAATATACCATATATATATAAATAAATACATGAAATAAACAAATATATATATTCCTTCCTTATGTTTGGTGGCTAACTCCCTTAGTTATATGTCTTACCAACAAACTCCATTTACTTTTGGGAGGAACTGTCGCATAAAAAGTACTGTCAACTTCAGTCACAAGTATAAAGCAGATAAAATTCTATTGTATGCAACCATGTGTTACTGCAAGAGTCTATTACAGAAATAATGTGTTATTTTCTATAGCAGATGTTTGAAACATGTTATCACTTCAAAATCATGTTTATAAGCAAATCTCATAGAATTAGGAAAAGTCACCAAGTATTAAAGTGATAAAACATTCTTAAGTGTGTTTTCTGGGCTGTTAAGAAAGAGATGCCAGACAGAAGGGACTTTATGTTCTCTGTTACCCTGTACCTCTAATACTAGTTTATTTATTACTCCCCCATTGGATTGCTTTCCTTAGTGATATTGAGTTCAAATTATGTAATATTGTATTTCTTAGAATTCGGCTTTCTGCTTGCTGTTCGACCTGTCAGGCCTGAGGTTTGAACTGACAACTTTTACATCCCTGGTCTGAGTGCTGACTGACTGTAGCTGGCTGGCTCAGTGGCGGAGGATTAGAAACTCAGCTCATTTAATAAATTATGTTTTAGTGATATGTATATTTATGACCTATATATTTACTCCCGGGGTGTGAATTTTGTTTGCCAGTTTACAAACACACACACGCACACAAACACACACACACACACAGAGACTACATTACCTCTCATAGCTTTTGCTTGCATCATTATTTATTAATCAAAGACCAATTAAAGAAACAACATTAAATTACAATTTAGCACAACAGCAAAGCTAAGTGTAGCTCTTGATTTTATTGTAGTTATTATCGCGCATGTTTAACCACGGGAGACTTTCTGCCTGGTTCCCAAAACAGTTTTGAACCAGTCCATTAAAGTGCAATTCAAACTGCACGTACAAATTTACAAGAATTTGACTTGAATTGTTCCTATATATATGCCAATTAATATAGATTTACATGTCATTTAGCACTAGGACCACTTTAAATTTGGAACCATGCAGAGTGCTGTCAGTTACCAAACAGATGTGTGGCCACATAACTCTGTGCGGTTAAAAAAGATGACTGTAATTCAAGACAAAAATAAACAACTAATTTTCCAGTGTTAAAAAGTGTTTTTTCCCCCAGAGATAATTATTTGGAGCTGACAAGTGTTAATTGGAGAGTTGTTTTTTTACTCAAGAGCAGATTTTTTTTCTATGACGTGGGTGTTCAGATGTGTCAGAAGTGTGAATGAACTCAGTGATGTTGGCTTATATATAAGCCATGGTATGCTGCTGGATGATGGCTGCATGTTAGTATAAGGCTTTAGGGAGCATGGGTCTTTTTCAGGTCACACACCTGTGTGGAGTTATATGAGTCTGACTGCGGCATCACTTTGACTTTAGCAGAGAACAGAGTTGCCACATCAGGTTCTGATCCTAAAAGAGACTTTACAGAACCACGTTTGCAGTTTATCCCACATTATGTGCTCATTATACTTAAATTAATAATGATAATTTGCCTGTATAATAGTCTACAAGTTACTACCCTGTGCTGCAGAGATGTGTACTGTATTGTATCTTTATGCCAGGTTGTCATGGTTGTGTTTTTTTGTTTTTTTTTGTCAGAATATCTTTGCAAGTATTCAAGATAGAGCAGTGAAGCAAAAAACTGAATTCTCTGCAGAGCTGTGGGGCAAAGATAAATCCATGACCTTTCACCAAATGGCTTATATGCAACACTATAAATGTAAGAAAGTGTACTACCACTTGAACCTGTGGAGTGGTTAAGAAAAAGTATCCACAAGAATTAATTAGACATTTAGAAAAGATAGCAAGATGGCATTAGAATGTAATCAAGGTTAAAAAAAACAATTTAATTTGCAGATCCAGAAAAACCTCATTAGGTTGTAATGATTTAGTTTTTGTAGGATGAAAAAAAGTATTAAAGGTCCTCCTGCCATTATTCTATATTTGTCTTATTGTCAACAAAAGCCTGTCTCAGAGTACTTTTCTCATAAATTTCTCTTCACTGTGTGTGGCTCTCCGCCCAGACTCCAGTCATTCCTGCTGAGGATGTAAACCTTTTAAAACGGTCACAAATATAGTTTTTATTTTCAAGAGGGATCTGTATTTCCTTAAAACACCAGGGCACAGTAGTTTTAAGCAAGATCTACTTAAACAGAAGTAAATAATGCACTTTTTTAAACAACAGATTAATACCCATTTGCTGAGTATTTACAGCAACAGAACGGTGTATCTGTATGTGCTGAGCACAACCAACACCACTGTAACTGGCTAGTGAACACTGTGATTCTGCATTGTGTCGTGTTGGGTGGAGAAATAATAGAAGGGAGGCTTGAGTGTATCTGTGTCTGGACTGGATAACAGAATATACTGGTCAGTGCTACGGGTAGCTCAGTAAGGGCAAGCACACAAAAGATCAAGTTATTTTAGCTAGGTAATGGCTAGCTAGTTTGTTGACTGCAACATTTCATGGTGTATGTCCAAATGAGCTCTATTAAAGGCACTGCATCCTTTGTAATAGCGTTTCAACAACACTAACATGTTAAACACAGGGGGCCAACACAGGGGGATATGAATTTCCTACAATTGTGCTGAGCCAAACAACCTACCCAGTCATGAACTGGCAAAGGTACACAGCCAACAGCGGCAGTCTGTGAGCCACTGGACTGCACTACTGAATATGGCCTATGGCAAGTGGAATAACACACTGTACATGTGGAATTGACTCAAAATAGACTACAATGCTTGTGTTCATTAAGGAACATGTCAGCCAGTGTTTTGACAACAGTGGAGCTCTATGGCACAGAGGAATATGCTAAATTAGACTTCGGATACACATATACTTATATACTACATGTAAGTAGAAGATACTGTGGTGCTGTGGCTAGTTTGTGGCCAGTTGACAACCAATCTGAAGGCCACGTAATGCTCAGTCCTGACGGAGAGCACGGCAGTGGCAGCTGCAATATCAGCGTGACAGCTAATAACATCTGTTAAGGTGGAAAGGTGAGGTTGAGAAAAGCCAAATGAGGTCCTTTTGCTAATGAGGCTTGGTCTCATCTCTCTCTCTTTCGCTCTCTCTCTCTGTCTCAGCTGCAGCAGCGTTATCGGTATGCACCTCGTTCTGCTTCCTCTCAGTTCCACAGCAGCTCCAAGGATTCTGCCTCAAACATAGCAATTCAGCTAAAACACTGCTCCAATAGGCCTGGTGTGACAGCAGTAAATTTCAGCCCTTTTCCCTCAGAATGGATCAGAATTCATCAATATCAAAATGCAAGACTTAAAGCATAAACAGTATAGAGACTTTGGCTTTATAGTTGGAGTTGGGTAGAATTAATGTGTCTGGTTGTCCTAGCATTTTAATGTTTCTATATATTACTGCATACCTAAATGCATTTGCCTATGGCTTGTTTAATGCTTAGTTTGTGTTCACCTCCTGTTTAGGGCTCTTAATCGCGCTGTTGGAAATTAGCTGCGTTCATTAAGGTTGACAAATTAATCAATATGGTGAACTATTTTTAAACAAGCGCAGACAGGACTTTACAGTTAATTGTTGAGTCCGTCAATACGGAGTAATCTCACCTTTCAATATAAGCTGTAAATGTCAACATGACTGCAGCCTGTTAAGCGGAGCTCAGTGATGACACTGAACATTTGGTGAGGAAATGAATGGAAGTAGGCCACCGAACGCAGCAAAGCATCAATACAGGCATTTGAATTTCAAGACGCCGCAGTAAATCAAGTTAAGCAAGAGACAAAAACAAAAACATTGACTACAGCTTTCAAAAATGTGCTGCCTCTGCAACGTCTGCAGTTGATCCTTGGATTTCACTCCATTTGAGCTGTTGTGTATTGACTCCTCCCAGTACTGAAAACTGTAAAGAAAGTGATGTGCTTTTACTTTTGATTACAACAAAGCAATGACATATTTAGTGGGCTTCTTTTAGAGAAGGTTTTGCCGCACAAATGGCTCTTTGCAAAAGCTGGAGCAAATCTGGCTTTATTTTGAAATTGATATGGGTACTTTTGTCAGCTATAGTAAATTCATCTTTCCAGGCTGGAATTGTGTTCTATTTTCAAATCAATTTCTCCTTTTGTACAGTTGACTGTGATTCATTTAAAAAAAGCAGACATTGATCGTGATTCTTTGTTCCATAAGAGCAGATGCTTAAGAGTGTTAGATTCAGGTCCTTCTTTGGCCATTTTCGTCTTACTCTGTCACTGCTGGGACCGATTGATTCAGGGAAGTGTTACAGTATGAAGCACTATTGATTTCCTAACATGGCCCTATGAATACTGTCTGTCCGGATGATCCCATTCACTGATCATACAGGCTTGCGTCACACACAGCAGGATGCTCGACATGATAGAGGAGTGCTCTGAAGTCGCCCGAATTTCTTGCACTGTTCTAGATGCTGAATGAGACAAACCCTACATCTGGGGATAAAATAACAAAATACTGAGCACATAACCCCAGTTTAATTTTCTCTTTCCAGATGGACTGGCTCACACCTGAGATGTGAAGTGTGTTATGTGAGCCAAGGTGTTTTCCCACCTCGCTGGTGGTGGGGAGAGATGCTGCACTCCGTTGCCATGACAGCAGAAGTTCTCTTTGTTCTTGGGTTCCTGATGAGCAGAGCTCAGTGTAATCCTATAGCGACCCTACCAGCGAGCCGAGAACGTCTGGAAAGGGTGTTGACCCAAGCCAGGGAGGATAAACATCAGGACAAGCAGACCCCCAAGGAGCCGCAGGGATACGGTGCTCTGCAGCGTCCGGAGGAAATCAATGCCTTGGGCCCCAACAGGACTGCCATGAGCCGCGCCCGGCCAAACCTCAGCTCCCAGACACGAGGATCTAAGGGCGGGAAGCCCCAGGAGCTGTGGAGCGAACAGGACAGCCTGAACCAAATAGACGAGGGCCCCACCAGTGACGTCACCCTCTCCCTGGATGCCATCGATGAATACGCCTACCCGGACTACAGGGGGAAAGGCTGCATGGATGAAAGCGGCTTTGTATTCGCCATCGGTGAAGAGTTCACCCCGGGCCCTTCGACATGCCCTTGCCTCTGCACAGACGAGGGCCCTCTGTGCACCAAGCCAGAATGTCCCAAGGTTCACCCTCGCTGCATTAAAGTGGATACTAGCCAATGCTGCCCGCAGTGCAAGGAGAAAAAGAACTACTGTGACTTTCGGGGCAACATCTACGCCTCTCTAGAAGAGTTTAAGGTGAGCCCATTAACTGCATTCACTCAATTTTGACATGCTCAAACAAAGAAGTGCTGACAGAACACTCCTTGCTGTTGCAACAGAGTTTATCACAGGCACTACACAGGAACTAGTTACCTTGCCTTGCAGCATGCGAGCGAGCAGGCAGGCAGATTTATAATGGCAAAGGTCAGCACTTGTCTTTTTTCTTACACAACGCCTGAATATTACCGGAGGCTGAATTTAACAATGCAGCTTCAGCAGAGTGTTTCTATATTCAGTTTGTTGATACACATGATAGAATCGCAGTTATAGTAATGTTACAACCCTGCAGAGCACCGTGCTGCATGTAGGTGTTTGTGAAGAGACACAGAGATACACCAGAAGGATCTTTCATGTTTTATCTTCTGACACTTCTTTGAAAGGCCCGACTCAGGATTGCACCACAATTTTAGTGTTACACCTCTTATTACGTTTACCAGCTCCTAAAGCTACTCTTTATGTTGGCGAGTGTCTCAGCAGGAGGTTAAGGCTAATATGGGAATTTCTTCCACTAACTCACGGTGTTACAGACAGCTCTGTGTCAAGTCTCTGCTGAGGGAAATCTACAGAAATTGCTACTTTCACAAGCGGCATATGTCAGTGCTGTGTGGTGTGGAGGGGGTTGCGTTGAAACTAAGCAACAGGCAGGTTTTTATGCTTGATTGCTAAGTTCTGGGGCATTGTACTAAGTGCTGCCAGCACTCCATTTTTCACAGTGGAGTATCATGCGGAGGCACAAGCCTCTGCTGCAATCTACAGCAATGCTTGTGGAATTAACCTTTGCTCTTTTGTTAAGACTAAAGGTGTATGGCTTTATACAAGCGGCTACTAAATGAAGCCTTTCGGAGGAAATGTAGGAGCTGCTTGTAATTCAAACTTTATACTATCAGTCATCACCTTTGTCCCACATTTGTTCTATTTTGAGACATACAGGAACGCTTGAATGACCAAGTCATTTCTAATGTTTCTGTTCATGCACCAAGAAAACTGGAAGCATCTTTCTTTTGTTTCCCATTCCTATTGATTTGTCCCCTGATTGGATAGTGAAGTTCAATTTTCGCTGCGGCTCTCCACAAAATGAGGCATTCATCGACAATGAAGTTGAGAAGGATGGGACTTTCCTATAGATGTAGCTTGATGAAACTGCACACTGTCTCAAGCAAGCCTGACAGCCAGGAGTATTTGTGTGTGCGTGCAGATGTGTGTGAGGGATAGGAGTGGAGAAAGAGAACAAAAAAGAGAGACAAACAAAGAGACAGAGAAACAGATAGAAAGGAATTAATTAAGAGGAGATGACTCTTTGTTGACTGTGTGTGTATGTGTGAACTGTTTATAAGGGTGTTAATTACTATTTCATCGCTACCATCCAGGTGTCCCCATGTGAGAAGTGCCGGTGTGAGCCAAGTGGGGAGGTGTTGTGCTCTGTGGCAGCCTGCCCTCAGACAGAGTGTGTGGACCCAGAGTACGAGCCAGATCAGTGCTGTCCCATCTGCAAGACTGGTGAGCGGAGACTCTTTCCATCAACACACTGTGGTGAACACTTTATTCCAGTACAACCAGTCTGTGTTGGCTGCTGGGTAGCTCCACTAGAGCAGACTAGTGTCAAATGGTTTTGCTCAAGGGCACCTCAACAGGAGGGCAAGCTAGCACGGTGCTTACTCTGCTGACGCTGCACTGCAGTGTTTGCAGTCTCATGCCATATCAGAATCCATATTTGAAGTGATGAGATCTATTTCAATGAAGTCGTGCAAAAAACGTGGTAAATCAGTTATAAGTTGTGGGCTCTTTCTGTGTCAACATTTGCTCATGTGTCATTTTCAGTCTTAATTTCATTTAATTACTAAGTTTATCTGATGGAGGCTGTAGCGTATGTTCCAAATCTGCCGCTACTGTTTGAGATTTGAGGTCCTCTTGCATTTTTCGCTGCTCGGGGTTGTAAGTTTATGATCCTGTTGGCCCGTCTGAGAAGACGGAATTCTGCGGCTCAGAGTCGATTATCTGAAGTTGTTTCGGATGATTCCAGACAGCATGTCCTAGATTATGTCCCCTTGTTTTCTTGGTGTGACTCTAATGCAACATGGCAATGTCAGCAACATTGCTTCCTTCAGCAAAAAGAATGATGACTTGCGATATGTATCTCTGACTTGGAATCTTAAAGTGGCGAGGCCTGTCTGCTATAAACAAGAGCAAGCAATCTGCATGAAGAACAAAATGTGATAGAAACAAGATACACAATACGTTCCACATAAAAATGCTTCGTCAGTATGAGATACTTATTAAACTATAGTACCTCTAATATCATTTTTGAGTATAACTGCAAGCAGGATGAGTGTGCAAGTGAAATTACAGAGGTTTATAGACATGCAAAAAAATCAATTATCAAGTTCATTTAACTGGATGAAATAAACAAAATGTCGACAGAACATCTTATTCAGCATATGACTACCATCTACTTAGTTCATTATGAATATATCCAGAATATCTCATTAGGATAATTCATGTATCATTTTAAACCCATAAAACATTATAGGCATAAGCATTTGCATGTAATGAATGTTCATGACTAGTTACCAATCACAGGTTGCCCCACTCAAATTAAAAACCTGTCTCTCAACCTCCAGAGATAACAAGTTGACAACATTGGTAGTCATGGAGCATTACTCACTGTATTAATATTTGCCTGCTGTAATCTTGGGGAATACATGTTGGTCCTTTGTTCCCATTTTTTTGCTGTTAACCCACTTTTTATATATGCACATATTGATCATGCTGAGAGTGCTTTGTGCAGAGTTTGGGCAGTGCTCCATATTTCCCCTGTGAAATGCCCAGTGGATTTGCTGGGTTGCATTCGCAGACACATCAGTCTAGGAGACAGATGTAGATGCAGCACAGTATGTGCAGAGATGTGGCAGACTGCAGAGAGCATGCATCTGTATTCAAAAGTCCCACCAAATCCACGGGCTCTTTCAGCCGATAAGGATTTTCTGTTTTAAGATGGCATCAGTCCCTATTACCATAAGATTACCACACATTACCATTCAATAAACAGAGCTCACTATGTCTAAGACGCCAAGTTACCTAAGCACAACTAACACTGTCACAGTCTGAATTAGAAATACTTGGATTACTTTAGTGCTTTGGGATTCTTTGGTTAAAGGGGCACTACTGATTGTACACATTAAGAGCAGCTTACTCATCATGAGTAATATGATTCAGCCTGGGAAAACAGTTGTAAAATGTCTTCTGTGCCTCTGGACGGAGCTTTTCAAAACCTGAATTGTAGACTGGGGGCTTAGAGTTTAAAATATGCGGGCTTTTACCAGGCAGTGTTTAATACCGTTGCAAAGTTGGAGTAGCCGCTGGTTCTAGAAGTATTGTAACCCCAATGCAAATTCCCATTTAAACAAAATGGTAGCCTCAATTACCTTCATATGTCAACAGAGGAGTCTTTGGAATAATTATGGCCGCCATTGCGATGGAGAAAAAAACAGGCAGAGGTATGAATCAGAGAGGTGGCAAATTCAAAACGCATTGTTGTGAACAAAACACGGCGCCATAGTTGCTGAATAACTTCAATTTTGGTCCCAAATCCAAAAGTTAATAAATTTAAGCTCTAGATTGTATCTTCAGCTTGTATTGATTTGCTTCAAATTTTATTCTTTATCATCTTTAGTTTTCTTGTCATAATGCACCTTGGGAGTTGTAGTTGAACTTGTTAAACGTTTGATTTTCTATCAAAGAACCAGATATTTCTAACACGGTTGCTCCTCTTTTGCAGTGATGATTCAACTATGTCCATCCACGCCACCTGTTAGTCACCTAACATTGCATTTTTTTATTTATTTTGCGGAATCAGGAGTACCCAAAATAACTCCTCCCAATTTGCAGTTCAGTGAAAAGCACAATTGAGTTGCTTTATGGGAATTGTAGGCTGCAGTGTTTTTGGAGCTTGACCTATATGAGGACATACTATCAGGATCTCACAGCCTCTGCTGCTTTGAGTTTGGCCGCTCTTTTGAATCCCCCAGATTTATGGAAGTGAAATATTTAATCACTGGAGTGCCCCTTTAACCTGGTCGTATTATTTTCTATTACACATACACCTGTATGGCATTTTGATATAAGTTGAATTCTAATCCTACATTGTCATGCAACCTCTGTCAGCTCGGTCCCACGCTCTTAGACTAATCTGCTGGAGCACGGTGGTATTTATGAAGATGCAGAAATAGCCTTTGGCAGCGTTTATGCCACATTTGTGCAGCAGTCAGACTGCAGTGTTTTTAAAGCTGTAGCAGGTGAGAGTTTTATGCTAAAAATAAATATATTGCTAAGTTTGTGCCAATCATTGACACTTCCTTTCTCATTTCTATGCCACCTGCTGGTGTTTTCACATATTCAGGAGAGCTGTGAATATCACAGCACAAAACTGTTAATCAGGTAGAGTTGAGTATCTGTATCAGTATGTGTTTAACAACTTCTCATTGGCCAGGGAACATTTCTGGAACTGATTTGATGAACAGGGCTGGTGGGGTTGTCACTATGTAAACAGGGGGCGTAAACACTCTCCGCAATCACCAAACATCTTTGTCACACTCTCACACTGCCGTACACACTCATCGTACACTTACTGAAGAAGATGGAGGTCTCTGTCTGGGAATTATCTTTCAAAAACATGTCGCTTGGAAGGCTTAATTGTCAAATGCTCTCATTTGCATTTTTTGCAGTTCATTTCACGCTAGACATGACACCAGAAAATAAACATAATAAAACAACATGTTAAAAAATTAATTATACCATGTTAAATAATTGGAAGATACGTTAATGGATATAAACTGAAGTAAATGAGACATCACTCTAAATGACACCACTGATCTTCCTTCAGCTCGTATCAATATCAAAACGATTATACATTGGATTTCACTTTGTCTTTTATTCATGATGCTTCTTTGCCAGGTATTACAGACGCCGCGATTTAAATGATGAGGATCATTGATTGTCATCTCCCATCTTGCCACTGTTGATCATGCAGCGCTCAATACCAGACAGTGCCGCAGAGGTAGCTCCGTGATGAAATACTGATGATGTAAAATAAGGTTATTGGAGGTCGTCAGAGAGTTCCCGCTCAGGTGGTGTTTGTCTTGTCTACAGATGTTGTTTAAAGCGCAGACAGATGTTAAGACCTCCCAGGAACTCTGATGCATCCGAAGCATCACATCAAAGCTCAGCTCATTAATGGGAGAGAATTAAAATCTCAGCCAGATGTGTCATGTCACCAAAAAGGAAAGCAAACTGTGTCGTTGAGTTTAAGAGTGTGCGTATAAAAGTAAAAGCACAGACAAGGAGAGAAAGTGAAACAAAGTGAGGTGAAAGATTGAAACATCAGGTCTATAAAGAGATTCTCATGGTTTCTCATTCAACAAGTCCTGTCTGCTGTCTTTTACCATAATTTCCCAGCTAACAGCTCTTCTACTCTTCACCATTTCCCTCACTATTGATATAAATCACAATGAAGCATTTCAATATTTGATAAGTTCATCAAATATGCACAGGCATTATCTTGGCCTTTTCAGGCATGCAAAATCAATGCTTATGGCAGGGCACCCTGTCTCAGATGTGTTATTCAGCCTGTATGCGAGGAGACACTTGGGGAAGAGCCAGGGGAGGAAGATGAAAGTGAGAGGTATCGCTAACATCCACCGCAGACAGTTGTTCATGAATATCAAAGAACAGCTGTGAATGGAGGCAGGTTCTCATCATTTTTTACTCATTATCTCAAAGCACTGCAACACATTGCAATTAAATGGTTTCATACCCTCTAAAGTTTGTGACAATCATTCACTCGTCACCATAAAGTTTAATTAAACAATATTGATTCTTGCAAAGAACATCTAGTCAATATTAGTGAGAGAAGGAAAACATGTTCTCTATACTTCCTGTTTGAAGTGTTATTTTCATTTCCCACAACACATAGGTGTAAAAGACATGGGAGTGTTTGTTGTAAATTCTAAGCCAAGTGTTTTCTCTTTCGCAGCATCTGCTTTTGAAGAATGCTTAGGGAAAAAAATCAATGCAGGAGAAGCCTATCTCCTCAGCTCCTTGGCCATGGCTCCCTCCCTCTTGTCCTTTGCTCTTGCAGGGCATCGCCTTGGCAACGCATGAGGAAACAAGTGATGCTCTTCAAGACTCAGACTTTAGGGTCAACACTAATCTGGGGGGGATGTGATAAACAGTCTGAACCCGAGCCAAAACCACTTCAAACAGAGCAACACGAGACATGGTAGCCTGGTTGCCAAGAGGGAAAGAGACTCATTTAAATTAAGAGAGGCATGATTCATAGAGGGCCTTTTAAGATGTGTGTATGTGTGTGTGTGTTTAAAAGGAACACATAAAGAAAACACAAGTGAAAAGGAAGTTGTTTATATGGATGTGAAGTTGTGTGGATGATCCATTTGAAGCCGCCTCCATCTCATCCTGACAACACAGAGTAGTAAACAGAGCTA